CCCCCCCCCCCCCCCCCGGGAAAACGGTTCACCACGTTCCATGACCAATCAGTCTGAAGCAACAGGATTCGAGGAAAAACTGATTTATCTGCCCTTAAGTAGATAGCCAATACCCTACCTTATAGAACATGACAGGTTTTACTGGTGATCCTCTAACATGGTTCGCACAACGGCCCTTGGAATTCGGCGGCGGAAAGTAATGCACACACCTAATATAAGTGATAAGACCGATCCTTGAAAAACACCGTAGGGAACCGCTCTTACAGAAGAAAGGCTATTGTTGATGCGAACTTTAACGTTAAATTATGTCGAACTCCTACTCAACAGTGTCGGTATAGATAAGCATGCCAATCACAATAGCAGTAGATGGTGAGTTTGTTTGATTGCTGATGGACAGACAGCATAGAATATGGTGAACGGCATTACTCTGCAGGGTGAACAGCATTCCTCTGCAGTATGGGAAGTATGAGACAGATGTAATTATAGAAAGACGTCGGTGCAGTCGCAGTCGTTGATCCTTCCTTTTTCCTCTGTCGGGAGAAACGACATCAAGACGAGCACAATCTCTTCGGCTGGGTACACTGGAAAATTGGGGAAAACTGGTTGTATAAATAGCCAGTAAGCTTTGCGAAACACAAGTTGGAATGGATTGGCTGTAGAACCTTGATTATAATCTAGCTCGTAGAAGTTCACCGCTGGAAACTTCCGCGAAACGGATCGTAGATCAATGAAGGAGTTCTGATAACGTCACTACCACTCCAGGGGCAACTCGTATGTTGCAAACGTCGCCTGTCCCTGCTGATCAGATTCATATCGTTGAAAGAATTATTCACTGACGCTATACATGGCAGCTAGGGAAGATCGAGACGAGAAGTGAAGACGTCCTCAGCTTCTACAGAAACTTCATAGCGGTGTTTCGCCGACTCATAGCCATCCTGTTATAACTTTCGGATCGTGTAGTACGGCGATATAACAGAAGTTGAGAAAACATCAAGTTAAATGAAGTACTATTGATCTTTTTTCCGGTTCGACCGTCTCGAACTTGGGTAGTGGAACCAAATCCGTCAGATATATACCACTGACTAAAAATAAAAAAAAATTACGAACAATACAAATAAAAAATATCTACGATCCAACTTCTGTGAGATAGACGAAGTATAAAGGTGCTAGGAGAGAGAGAGAGAGTGAAAGAAAGAAAGAAATAATGAAACTTCCTTGAAGAACTGGTATGAGCCCTGTCTCAGCGAAGCAGACGAATTACAAAACGATGGTAAGGGAATTGACGTAAGATGACAGTAGATACGTACCCGCATTCAAAGGCACAAGTCACGATAATTTCGGGAAACTCAGATTATGACGAAAAATGGAAGATAAGATGGAAAACAGTGCGATGGAGGCGAAGGAAGTGCGTGGATAAATGTTTCCAAAGCGAAAAAAAGGCTCAAAAATCGTTAAAAAGGGGGCTGGGCGAGAGTGGGACTAGAAGAATGAAGAAGAGTGGGGCGTTTGGACGAGCTACGTACAGCGCGTCATTGCGTACACGTGGGTCCTGGTGCAATATCTGACTACGGTAAACAAAACTTCATCCGCCTAAAGCATAATTAAACAAAAAGTTCTAGTGACAGCAATGGTAGCTCACCTTTTTCAGCCTCTAGAAGTAGGAATTTAAATAAGGGATCGCTGCAGCAAAAAGAATACAGAGGAAAAAGGAATGGGAGAAAAACATCGCCTCATCATTCGGCGATCAGCTGGTTGTTTGTGGGTCCTAGAACGAATAATTGCAATCTGTATCGTCTCGACACTGGTTTTGACGTGACATCGATCGAGAGGTGGGAAAGCGAATCAAGACATCAACAGGGCCTCCACTATGCACTGACCGTCGAGAGGGACCCTTCTAACACCAATGGGGCCACTGAGTATTCCCAACCATAAGGGAAGAACTCATTGTCAGCAACCATTTTTATCGTGAACCGTACCTTCGAGATAAAAAATGTCAAAAGAAAAGATGTAAAGTAAAGTTTGCACTAAGAAAGTAGATAGAACTATGTGCCGGAACAGCAAGTGAAATGCAGTTGAATTGAATAGATTGAAAAGGTCAGCCTAGTGTGTCGATACTCCGTATCCATATTCAAGATGAAGTCTACTGAAGAACATGCACCAGAAAATAAGAAGCCGCGCAACGAAGTAAACTGTTAACAGGGCTCCAAAAGCAGAGAAAGATTAAGGTTGAATTATTCGCCGATGTCAAGCACCGCTGTCGAGTATCGTCTGCGGCTTCCTGTCTCTTATTTATGAGCAGTCTTACCGTTGCCAACAGAACACTCATTGAAACGTTCAAGAAAATTCTGAACTCTTCTAGGCAAGGAAAGGTACAAAATCAAGCATCCTTACTATAGACCATATACTTTCGTCCAGAACTCATTAGCTGTTTAGGTTGAATCACAAGTCCTGACGAATGACAAAGCTTCTTTCAGATGATCTCAGCAGAAAGAGCTCGTCATCGATCCCGTCGACCAAGCAAAACTGTACCTATGATACCATTCGGAACCCTTATTCAGGTATGGAATATTGAGTGTGCGAGAAGTTGTAATAAGGAATGTAGAGAATCTACATATTACTCGATTATTTAAGGGAAAGTATGAGCTGCAAAAGGTTCTTGGAGCTGGTGGTTATGGCCAAATATTCAAAGCTTTTGATTCTGTGAGTGACAAACGCTGAGT